GAGAGAGAACGCCGCCGACCGGAGACTCGAGATCCAATTGAGCTTTGTCAGTCTCCACTTCATATACTGCCTTGGCCAGCATATCGCATAGTTGCAATTTCGACACAGGAATTTTCACCTCGAACGGGGCCTTACATCTGAAGCGATCACTAGCTTCGAGGGTGCCGATTGGGGCGGCTGCCGGCAGTTTTGGTGATGCACAGGATGCGTTTCTGCCATTGTGTGATCAGAAGTGCAGTGCACCTCCGTGGCTGCGCTCGACAGCCCAACCGGCCCAGGATGTGCACTTGTTCGAAAGTGCGCGCGAAGGTGTCTCGCCGACCCGATTGGGCCGACTGGCCACGAAGACGGGCCCCGACCCCACCGGGGCGAAAGTCGTTGCACACCATCGTTCGGCGTGACCGCGGAGCTGTATGAACGGGGGAGACCCGAATATCCGTCCGAATCGCTACGCTGGATCTTGACTTCACCGCATGCCGATGAAGCTCGTTTGCGGGTGGCGGACGTCGGGGCAGGAACTGGCAAGCTGACGCGGGCTATCGCTGCTGCCGGACATGAGGTTGTGGCGGTTGACCCTGATGTCGCGATGCTGAATACCTTGCGCGATGTTGTTCTGAATGTGCCCACGTTTGTCGGAACTGCGGAATCGCTTCCGTTCCCGGATGCGAGTTTCGACGCTGTGGTTCTAGCGCAAGCCTGGCATTGGGTCGACCCAGTTGCCGGTTGCCGGGAGATCGGGCGTGTGCTCGCGCCAGGGGGCGTTCTTGGCCTCGTGTGGAACCTTCGCGATGTTTCCGAGCCGTGGGTTCGGCAGCTCAGTTCCATTGTGGACGGGGGAGCGGCCCTTGATATGTTCGCAGATGGTGCTCCGCCGATTGCAGATCCGTTCGATTCTTTGAACAAGCAAGAGTGGCATTGGAAAGCTTCGATGAAACGTCGACAGATCAGTGCGTCGATCCTTTCGCGCAGTCAATACATCAAGGCTTCCCCAGCTGCTCGTGAAAAGATCGAG